TTTGATAAGGTCTAGCATCCTCTAAAGTGAAGTTTCCTATTTCCATAAGGCAGTTGGCGATGTTGCTCATGAGAGTGAAACACGCCTCCACACCTTGAAAAAGAGTCATGGCTTCAAGTTATGCTTGCTTGATTTCAAGCAAAAGTTGATGAGCCTATTCTAGGTGGTCTTCATATGTCGGTGATTGAATCGGAGGAGTTTCCTTCTTAGGCACTTGAGATTTGGCCTCGATCGGAACATCAACATTGGTGAGAGCTTTTTTGGCTCGTTTTGATTCAAGCACTTCTCTTAGGTCACTCCCTCTTTGAAGTTTTGAATGGCAAGACCAAGACATGACAGAATATTCCCATATGGCTTAAAACAAAAACATGTTACGTGATGCATGAAAAAATACAAATAATAAAGATTATACAAACAAGGAAACGAGAGTTAGGAAATGCATAACCTCCACCCTTATATCTCCCACAAACGATTCATGGTTAAAAGTCTATCTAAAACCCTAGGACAAAATGGTTGGGTCCATAAACCATCATAGGATTTTGGACCGATGTCTCTAGCATTTTATTGGATGAATGATACGACATTGATTTATTATGGTAACCTTAAGGGGAGGAACTAGGGTCATTTTACATGAGCTTTGGTCGGGTTAAATAAGTCTTTGGTTCTATAAGTGAGAATTAGTTGTTTCTTCCATTTAGCATTGGGTCTATGCCAATGATGATAACAGATTATGCCAATTCTTTTGATATACAAAAAGGTACAAGGCTTTTTAGTGATGTATATTACTCGTAGATCCTAACAGTCGAGTAAAGTGAAAGGACCACGTCCTTCAATACTATCTTTAGGGTTTTTAGGTAGAAAGGGGATTAAGAAGAGAATTATGCATGAATGCCATTTATATATACAAAAATTTAAGTTAATTTCAAGTTAATAACATTGCTAACAATTGTAAATAATACGACAATAATTGGAGTCAATTCCTTTCTCGAACCCAAAATTAGAAAACCATAGATTTTGGGCTCAATCCCTAGTGGAGTCACCAGATTGAGGAGGGATAGTCTTTTGCGAATAACTAAAAACCAAGCTTGGTTTATTTTAATTTATGAAATTGATTTTCTCTTATTAAACCCTTTTTAACATCCTCAGACAATCAACCTTATTTTGTAAAAGGGATTTTTGTAAAAATAGCTCTTACTTTGATAAGAACTTTATTTTTGGAGTCGCCACCCTTTTTAGAAAAAAATTCGCAAACTACTCATTTCTTTGGAAATAGCTAGTCCAATTTTAACCAGAGACTATGTGAGGGAATTTGATAAAGTCATGGGAAGGGGTTAAGCACCCGGACCACCCAGTTAAAAACCGGCATCCTTCATTGTCCATTCATTCACAACCTTAATAACATGATTAACTTCAATTGAGGTAAAAAAAAACTAAGTTTTAATACATTTTTGAAATATGGCAATCATGAACAATAACAATCAAATAAAGCATAAAACAAATAAAAGAAACATAATAAATAATCACAACATTAATGGTTAGAGCTAGTACATAAGTGAATAAAAGGCAATAATAGTAAAGGATGCATAAAGGTAAATGAACTTGAAATTTAAATTACTAAAATTTAAAGAACGGAAAAATAAATGACAGTAAAGTAAAAATGTTGATTACTAACTTGAAAAGATTTGAGTTCAAGAATTGGTTGTTCTTTATGAATGGTGAACAACTATGACCATCATTACCCATTTGTTATTCTTCATTTGTTCACCCGAGTCAAAATGAGTTTTATACGCATTTTTAAGCAAAGATGCTTAATGCTCGACTCAATTGGATCCCGGAATCATGACAAATTGTTTGGAAATATTGATTCTAGGGCCTAACTAGAAGTGGCGTGCGCCACTATGTGTGCCATGCGAGAGTCTTGCCTAGATTAGAGGCCCAGAAAATTTTCACTTTGTTTGGCTAACCACAATGGCGTGAGACACATGTAATGATGTGGTGCTTCCATCGTGTGGCGTGCACCGCTACGGTTGAGGCCACACAACTTGGTTTATCATAGGGTTTTCCTCACAACCAATGAAAAGGAGGCATTTTTAATGTTCAAAAGATGAAAAGGACAAAGAAAAGGAGCTAGAACTCTCAGAGGTTACCTGGTTATGGAGCGAATCCAAAAATTTTTGCAAGAATGAAACAAGAAACCAAGATGTTTCAATGCTTGTTGAATGATCCGAGTTTTTGATTAAATGAGATTGTTTGTGGGTTTTATATCACGAAATTGGGGAGTTTTATCAAAAATAAATCGATGAACTTTGATTCAAGCTATGATTGAAGAGTGTAGCTTTAAATCAAAGGTTTAGGAAATGAAAATGGTAGAATTTCCCCTCTATGATCAAAAAAATCTTTCCTCCTATCTTAAACCATTGCCCTATTTATAGGCAAATGGGGAGATGAGGTGGCCTTTTCTAGGGCTTAGGTGGCAAGTGCCACTAGTACACCCCAAAATCAAGCCAAGCCCATTTTTGCTAAAACGATCGGGGTGACATGCAAAATGAGACAACATGCCAGGACGCATCCTGGGTGATCCCAAGGCACTTTTTGAGCCTGGTTTCGCTGCGAAACCCCTGAGAACCCGAAAAAGCAAAAACGATCAAACAAATCATTTTCATTAAACATAGACCACTGATCCAAGAATCAGAGCAATCGGACCTCTTGATTTCGTTTTATACAAAAAAATAATTTATCATCAATTAATCCTTTTAGGCCAAAAAAATTGAGCATCTACACTAGGATGAGTTTTGGTATAAATTTCTTTGTTCCTTCACCGAATAGACCAAACAATCTTTGGTGAAATGATGGAGTTCTACACCTTGGTGATGGAGAAGTATATCAAGGCATTAGAGAAGATGTGGTACACCAAAATCAGTATCATAATAGGAGGCCTCTAAGATGTGGCACAGAACATGTGGATAGATATTAATATGACTATTTTTTCATGTATTAGTTATTAAGGCATTTTTAACGTAATACAGTTCAATTTCAAGTACTTTATTACTCTTGGTAATTTGTAACTGTGTACAGGTTATATTTTTATTACTCCCTCTATTCTCTTTATTTAGAGAAAATAGAAAAAACTCTTGGATTAAAAAAGTTAGTTAAATGAAATTTTCTCCCTAAATACCCTTCATTTCTTCATTAATTACGGGAATAATAGCTGACACAAAAGATAGTTAAAAAAAGTAAATTTATTGCCTACTTGCATTCTTTGAGGGTCACTTCAAACCTTCTTTATTAGAATGGAGATATTTTACATAATATATGCCCAAAAATGAAAGAAAAATTTTAGAGCCAAATTAAAGGCCAAATTTTTCAACTTATTCATTGAAGGTTGTAAATTTCCAAAATTTTTGGCAAAAATAAAGGAGGGAGAACTTAAATTTTCGCTCTAACTTTTTTAACTTGAATGGTTTTTCAATTTAAATTCAAAATTAAAAGTGAACAACTAATACAATAAGGCCACAAAGTAGGTACAAAATAGTACAATCATTATAATAATTTGAAAAGTGCACAACTGATAATAACAATACCACAGTATGACTTACAAAAGTGCATAACTACTAATGTCATAAGATAGCTTACAAAAATTCACAACTGTTACCTAACACAAAAAACAATAACTATAGAGCATAACATATATTCATTTCTGATGTCAACAGTTATGGCCAAATGATAAAAAAAGATATATATTCAACAAACAAATAAATAAGGACTAACTCTATATTTATGTAGCCATTATTTTGACTTTTAAAAGATAGCCTTACAAAAAATTCGCACAACTGTTAAACCTGAACACAAAAAAACAATAACTATAGAGCATAACATTATATCATGCTCTGATGGTCAAACAGTTATGCCAAATGATAAAAAAGATATATAATTTCAACAAACAAATAAATAAGCTAACTCTATATTTATGTAGCCCATTATTTGACTTTTAATATCAGCAGAAGACTTTTAATTTTATTATTTATGTAGCCATTATTTTGACTTTTAATATCAGAACTTTAATTTTATGGCCAAATTTATAAAAACAATCACTGTTACTATAAAACGAAATGAAAAAGTGAGTTGATAACTTATCCCTTCAAATACACTTATATTAAATGCTAAGAATATTTGTGTCTACTAATTTCCTTAATTGTTGAGCTTCAATCTTAAAATAAACACATATACTCTAATAACATTCTAATCATTTTAACTTGACTTGTATCCCAAAGTTACTACTTAGAATAAAATTCTCTATATAAAAAATATACCAAAAAAGAAAATTTACTCTAAATAAAGACAACAAATGGAGTACTTGAGTACTTTAACACGAAATGTTCATACACCAAAAGCACTAGATGACATGCTTGTTTTGGTGAAAACCAAAATACTTTCAATAAACAAATATTGTTTATTGAAACCATTAGTTCGCTGATTAACCATTAACAAAATACTATTCTTTTCATATTTCCTATACTTTTCTTTGACCAATGATCAGATCTCATATTTACATTTAAGCCACCAAATAATTGTCTCAATGAAAAAGCTCCATTTGACAATTTAAAACTTTTATTTTCTATTGTAACGACCAGTTAAGTAGTTTTGATACAACATTCTCCCCCTCATAATAGGATAAATATTAGATTTCGTAAATCATTTAGATTTAAAAATAGTTTTTTTGAAAAACATTATTTTTATCTAAATCTTGCAAAATCAACCTTTTTTCATTACAAAAATAACAAAAAAAAAAAAGTATATTAAATAATTTTTAACTCTGAAACATTCTCCTCCAAAGGGCAACCATGTGAAGAAAAATTTGTTTAGTACAAAAATTACATATACTTTTTTCATAATAGGACGCCTAATTTAGAAAATAAAAAAGGAGCCACAGTTCTAAAATAATTCACATCCAACAAAAACAGCAATAAAAATAGGGAAGTACTCTGCCACAAATTTCACAATTGAAAAATTATTTGCCATGGAAAATGAAAACTATTTTCCACAAACAGGCCGTAATACTTCTAAATTGATTTAAAAATTATTTGCAGTCGAAAACTGATGTCTTCCATTCCAAACGCCTTTTTGAAGCCAAGCCCCAAACAACTCTACGTTCGAGGATCAGCTTCTGTTCCAACCGCTAAATACATTCAAGAATAGCAAATGAAACCATGCATTGAAAACAAAAGCATCACAAGCCAAATGAAGGTAAACCTGCAAGCACGTACCGAATGCATAACCAAAAAACATGCAAGCAATTTATCTTTAAAATAACCCAACATGCACACAGCTAACTCAAGGAAATAAGAACAAAATACAGAGAGAATGACTATGAAACTCCTTGGAAGGACAGTCTATCTCGGAGGGTATCAAAAATTGATGAGGCTGCTGTGTTTTGTGCAAAACTCAATTTCAATCGACCGAGCAATTCCCCATCTTTTGCTTGAGAAGCAGCATCAGCAGCTTCCTTGGCCATGCCAATCCGCGCATAAGCCTAAGAAAATCAGAGATGGTCCTTGAGTATGATTTGTAGATTACAGATAAATAAACAAGAAGCAGACAGAGAAACATAATCACCTCAGCTCTTTCTCTTGGATCAGCAAGTTTTGGAATATATTTTAACGCTTCGCTTTTCTCATCAGCATCAATGCATGCCTCCACAAATGGTCGGTAACCTTTTTATGCCAAAAAAAAAAAAAAATATCATATTCATTGTATAACAGGAAATACATGTCTTTAACTGTGAAGGTTACAAGTTCAATGCTAATATTCACATATCTGATGAATGCTGCTAAGTCATGAATATAAGCAAGTTAATTACTGAACTTTGCACATTCAATATGATCATTTAAACTTCAATCAATGAACTTTGATTTTGTATGCAATGCCATCTTCATAGACAAAATTGCAGAGGCTGGCGAGTAACGACACTTGAAGTCTTAAACATGTACTCAAGTGAGCAACCTGACTAACAATTTAGCAACTTTTGCCATTTGTTGACTGAATTATATAGACCAAAACTGAGCTGAATGATGAAAATGGAACATATCAAAGTTTAATCATTGAGATGAAATTATTCGCAGAGTTCACCCACAAGTGTTGCATCTCAGCCAATCCCAGCAATGCATTTTAACATTGATAAGCAGGAATCAATCAGCTATCACAATAACGCACGAGCTGTATTTGCTTCTCTTAAGTATAAAAGATTCAACAAGAGGAAGAGGTTTTACCAATTGGTGGTCTCTTCTCCTTAGAAAACTTTTCAAGAGCATCCCAATCTCGTTTTGTTGCCAAACCAAAAACTTTAAGCCAGTACCATCTCTTCTCAGAAACCTACAGGAAGCTAACCATCAAGAATATGAAGATGAAGAACAAAACTGATGGATAAAGTATCAACTCCTATGCCATCTTCTATTTCTATTTAACAGGTATATACATATAAATAGATCATTTTGTATTCTTTATCTCCTGTAAATCAACACGAAAGAACTCAGACCTTAAACTCTGTTTTCACTTTCATTGCAGCTCGATGATTTCCCATTGCAATGCATGTTCTAATAGTATCACTGATACTTGAATCAACAAAAATAGGTTGCTTTGTAGAGACTTCTAACTCGTGTTGAATTCTGTGAAGTTCATTAAGTAATCAGCATTGCAGTCAATTGAAGAATAATGGAGAAAATAAAAAATAAATAAAAATAGGGAACAAGGCATGCAAAGCAGTTCAGAACAAATGCAAGCAATATTACATATGGTCTAACAAATAAAATTTTCACTTACACAACAGTTATCTGAAAGATTCTCATTGCATTCCAATTACTACTACCAATTATAAAAATTAATAACATTTGTATTTGCATTAGTGACACATTTTACATTAAAAAATAAATGAACCAAATCTGCGTATGACAAGAAACTCCAAATATAAAATTACAAGGAAAAATAAATGCTCCAATGTGTATTACATACCTTCACTCATGAAGGTAAACCATTAAATATGTGAACCAAAAAGTTTGTCTCCTACCTTAACAATTTTGCATGCTCTTCAGCAGCTTTTGCTTCAAACGTGTGTTCCTTAGTCTCCAAGAAAAGGTTTTGAGCCTTCTCAATGAGCTTTATGCGTGGACCATGAAGCGGAGATCCTTTACTTGCCATTGGATTTTTCCCTAGTTCCCATGATTCTTTCCATAAAATAAAAGCCACATCCTATAGACAGAAAAATTAACTGTAATTTCATAAGATTAAACCCAAGGCATTGGATAAATTTGGCAATAGAAGTATTATTAAGCCTTGAAAACTACAGTTATAATTTCTAGGCATCATGGATTATGGGAGACAACCCGTCCTATCCTGATTTGTTACATGTGTGAGAATTATTTAAAAGCTTATGACATAAATGAAGAAAGAAAGATGAGAAAATTCATCATATCCATACAAGCACTAGCAAGTAATATATAGTACGGTTTCATATTCTCTCAATGGTCATTCGACTCTGATAAACAATAAGGGGCACTGTGATGAAGACTTGCATAGTTTATGACACATGAAATAATATGATGCTAAAAGGCCTGAAGAACAAAGGATATATAACGATTACAATATTAAAAAAAAAAAAAATGATACATTTAAGTATTGCCCCACTTAAGAATGCTATGGAAGCGCTACCTTGAACACCACAACACAATGAGGCAACACTTCTAATTCTTACTTGCCTGCATTATGTCAATAACCAACACAAATCCAAATTACTAGCCACTATTGGAAAAAGTAAACCTACTTGAAGTTGCCCAGTTGATAGAAAGTAGTCCTTCAAGAATTCATGTTTATAACTCCTGAAAAAAATCCACCAAAAGAGAAGATATATTTAAAACTTAAAACTCTAGGAACAAGAATATTCAAATGTCATGTGCATCAAAATAAAAGAAACCAAAAATTATAAAATTATAAAATTATAAAAAATAAAAATAAAAAAAAAAAGGATCCAAGGATTCCATTCTGAAAAAGGACAGGAAAAAACAAAAAAAGAAAAAGAAACACAGGTAAGCAAAATGCTCTGTATAGTTTGTTATGCCCCACTTTCATGTTAAGCTCTTCCATTCATCAGCAATTTTAAAATCTCCAAATCTCAGCTCTGGTTTAACTGTTTCAGGTGTAACAGTCAAAGAGTGCAATGTTAAAGTTTTTAATCTCAGTTCTGGTCATGGCTGACAGTAATGAAATATATTTAGAAAAAAGTTGCAGAATAACTCTAATTCATCGTTTAAATAACTTTAGATCTACAACATAGGAAGTCCCTCCACATTAATGATAATTACATATTGGCAAATAACAAACGTATACATACCAAATTGTTACACAAACAAATTTGGCAATAATAAGTTTTCTTTCTTCTGATATTTAATAACAATAAAAGCATAAGCATTTATACATTATATATAGAAGACAGGCACAAACATTTGAACAAATAAAAAAAAAAAATACATAATGATATTTGTTATTTACATATAAGAACTAATTAATATGGATAGAAGAAAAACATGATATAATCTCTAGGTACAACCCTATTATTATTATTATTATTATTATTATTATTATTATTATTATTATATATAAATCTAAACTCATTTTAGTTATGCCATATCGCGTGAAGAAACTGAGGTTAAAAATATCAATTGATGACATTGTATGATATGTTGTATCAGGCAGAGAAATTTTTTTTTTGCTCTCATGCAGAAGAAATTTCTTATGTTATGTAACGGTGGATGTTATGCAGCTTATTCTATTACAGGAGCTTGAGAAACCTAATGGTGAGGTCATCTGCAACCTGCAAACCCTGTAACATCACTGCAATTGAAAGTAAGCTATGAACACTGATTTATATTGGTCGTTAAATCTCTCAAGTGTTAGCATAATGATTAATATAGATTATTGAATCTCTTTTAGATGATGCAAGGATTATAACACGGACACTAGGAAAACCAATCTTAAATAGTTGATTTGAAATAGTCAACATCTCTGGATTACCTGTTCATGTTGTTGCTAAGTGAATAGCAAACTAAATGTGGCACATGCTTGGCTTCTCTTCTTGCAAATACGTATCCCTTTCATAAGCATTGAGGCTAATCAATCTTTGGGTTTCAAGTATTTCAGTTTAATGATGAATTTTCTTTTTTTTCTCTCTCTCTCTCTCTCTCTCTCTCTCTCTCTCTCTCCCCCTCTGAAAGATTTTATTTTAAAGGTGATTAACAGATTGAGAGAACAAATTACTTGAGTTTCAAGCAATCAAAAGAATTACAAGTAGGTATGAACTATTTGCTTATAAAATTATTTTACTATTTTAAAATAATTTTTAACATCATCAAGATAAGGTATGAATTCTCTGTTATTTTGATGTGATTGAATAATATGATTGATGACAAATGCAAGTTAGTTAAAAAGTTTTTCCGCAATCTTTCAAGGGAATCAAAGATTAATGTTAATCAATGATGTTTCAAGGAATCAATAGTGTGAAAAAATATGTTAATGCACTGCAATTATCAACTCATGAAATTACAAAAGTAAAAAAATTCAAAATATTAGCTTACATTCAAATAGTTCATGAATCTACTATCAATATGAGTTGAATTTGAAACAGTTATAATTTAATGTATTATGTAATAATCATTGATATAAATTCATTTAAAGTACATATTTATAGGTTAATAAATCTCACATTACGTGCATTGCACACATGAATGAATAAAGCAACAGCACCATATGCATTCGGGTTTCTAAAGAATAAAAAGCAAATTTCAATTATTAGAACCTATGCATTTTGAAGTTCAAAAAGAATGATGAGCCCTTTTTAAATAATAGTGTTTTAAAAGGTAAACTGAGAACAATTGTGCAACCTCTAAGGGTGTATGAATAAGTTGAGCTGCTCCGACACAACCCCTAAATTATTCAAATTCAACTTGGTTTTAAATGAGTTGAGCTCAATTTGAGTAGCGTGAGCTTGAGTAAAACATTCACCAACTTGAGCAACTAAATGGTATAGGTATTACTTGCATATATACTTGTTCTTGTCATTAGGATTAATTGATAAGCTTACCTAAATTTTAAAATTCAAACATGATTAAATTCAATCAAGTGCAAGGCAAATTTTCAAGCCTTAAGTTTTCCAATTTATGCAGCTCATCTTCACAATTTCATTCCTAGTCACCCGCTCCTTCCTCCTCACGTTTAGCTACAGGCTCATTCCCCTCATTCTTAGTGCCTCCCTCCACCTAGTTTCCACCTAGAATAGACTGATACATAAATATATCAACTTGAATCAGATTGTAAGGTCTTTACGACTGTTGTGGTTCTAGAATGGTGGTAATGAATCAAAGAACATGTTAAAGATTGAGAATTTGCTTAAATACTTCTTCATTAATTAGTTTTGGGACAGAAATTTGTATTTTATTCTTCGTTTACAGCAAGTCTATCAGTGGATTTAAGTGAAAAGTAAACTTGCTTATAAGATTAGAAAACTTAATTATGGGTTAGCATGTTAAAAAAGCAAATTAACATTTAGGTATGCGGCTCAAAAAAGGCTGTCCTTTTGTACTTAGATTAAGTAACCTCTCTTGTACTTAAGTGTTAAAAGAAGACAATGAAAGTGCACTTTTGAAGTTCAATTACAAATCCAGGTTTCTGCATGTGTCGAATGTGTGATCTCTGTTCTACCATTCTTCAACACACGTCAGATCTTTAACTAATCTTTAAGGGATCGAGTGAAGACAAGTAAGAAACCTTCATAAAAGACCTAAACACTTCTGAAATTATAAAACAGTTTCTGATGTTCTAAGCATAAGTAAGAAATCTATCATACATTCCTAAAAGATACTAAAACGTTTAAATTCCTAAAAGATACTAAAACAGTTTGTCATGTTCTATAATAAATTAAAACAGTTTCTGATTATCTCATAAACCTTCATAAAAGATACTAAAACAGTTTCTGATGTTCTATACAGTCCTACCTTAGATCAAAATTTACTTAAGAGTAGCCCACATGCAAAAGAAGAGGTATGTAGCGTTGTTTACAGCCTGATGCATTATTTTTTACCCTAGTAGTGTTGAGACAGCTAAGGCAAAAATGGGAATTAGTAAGGCGCCCTGCATATAGTGCTACCTATAATGAGTCTTGGTTATGGATAGGTGATTTGGGCCCTCCAACTTGAAGTCTATAAAGTTTATGTGCTCAAGTTAATCAGCAAGGATTTGGGGAAAATTTCTGTGAATCATGAAGTTTAAGGCTACTATCAGTTTGGGAAAACTCTTCCAATTAGGAAGAGCTTGGAGAGCAAAGAATAAATTGGAGATAGTGCATACAGATGTCTGTGGTCCCAGGAGGGTTGGATCCTGTAGTCAAAACAAATACTTTATCCTGTTTATTGATGATTTCACAAGGATGACTTGTGTCTATTTTCTAGGCTTCAAGTCCGAGTATTTTCTGTGTTCATGCAATTCAGGGCTTCTTGTGGAAAAACAAAGTGGCTCTAAATTGAAGATCCTTACATCAAATAACGGGACTGATTTCACAAGTTCTGTGAGGATTTGGGTAGTCACAATCAATTAACAGTTAGCTATTCTCCCGAACAAAATGGAGTTTCAGATAGAAAAAATAGGACCATAATGGAGATGACCAGATGCATGCTATTTGAGGAGAAGCTAACTAAAACCTTAAGCATTGAACATTTTTGTATACCTGTTCAATAGGCTACCTAATGGTCTTTACAACTGTTCTGGTTCTACGATGTGGTAATGAATCAAAGAAAATGTTGAAGATAGGGAATTCGCTTAAATTATTTTTTGTTAATTACCTTTGAGGGAATTTTGTTTTTTGTTTTTCCGTTAGAGAGCTTTCTTTTACAGTCTGTTAGTGGACGGTGAGAACGAGACTCGATTTAAGTGTTAAAAGAAGTCCATGAAAGTGCATTTTTGAAGTTTCAATAATAAAACAAGATTTTTGTGTGTTGTGTGCTATCCTGCTTTACCATTCTTCAACAAAATACAAAATCATTGCCTCCAGTTTCGGCAACAAATTCACCAATATTTGTAAACATGACAACAATATTGATTCCCAAAGTTATTTTCCTTTTATATTATTACTATTATCATGACTTTAAATTCTTCTATTTTGAATCTCTCCTGTGCAAAAAGTTAAGGATCACTCTCCCCTCTCATGAGCAAAATTCTTCTACTATAGTTCTTCAGTTAAGAAATTGTCACCAACTTAGCTTGCCTTGCCCACACGTATACTTATGCTACAAGAAAAAAAAAATAAAAAAAATAAAAAAAAAGGTAACATTTTGACATTTTCTCAAAAAAAAAAAAAAAAAAAAAAGATCGGTCTTTTGGATGGAATCTTTGAGAAAAGCTGTTAGACTCTCTGGCATCTTTATAGGTAAGTTAACATTAGTTAACAATTCCCAGTGCCAACAAAGCATTGCCACCTCTTTTTGAAGTTTCAATAAAAAACAAGAATTTTTTGTGTGTTGTGTCTATCCTGGCTGTTTACCATTCTTCAACCAAAATCTAACCAAGATGCCCACCTATTCCTCCCCCACAGTTTCGGCAAGCGACCCACCCACTACACCCTCTCACGACAATATTTGTACACCGATGCAACAATATTGAATTCCCAAAAGATCATATTTCCTTTACATATAATTATTATACTAACATTCACTTGCATAGGATCTGTTTTACCTTATAATTTCTTATCTACTTGTTGAATCCGTCGCCGTGCCCAACGTCGCCTGTGCATCAATCAAAGACTTTAGACCCTACTCTCTTTTTGCCCACCTCCCTCTACATGGAGGCTAATTAGTAACGTGTCTTCTAACTATAGGTTTTTCCTCAGTTTAAGTATAACTCCGGTCCCACCTATAACTACCCGTTTGCCTCCTTTTTTTCCCAGCTAACGTTACTAAGTTATGCTAACATGTAAGAAAGAAGAAGAAATAAAGAAGCCAAACTACCAAATAAACAGAAGGGTAACACTTCTATGGACATGCTGTCCTTCTCAGATAAACCAAACAAAAAAAAAAAATAAAAAACCTTGAACGTCACGCTTGGCGAGCGGGTAGATAGGCTGCTGGCGTACGATGGGATCACGCTATGAAAGAGAAAGAGGCGAGTGCAACCAACAAATCATTAGGTGTGCTGAGAACGACAACACAAAAAATGGCACAAACAAGAAAACAAAAAACGACGTCATAAATGAGAAACACTAGCAAGGTAAAGCTCTGTAGACCGTAAAAGCGTAGAGCAGTTAAAGAAAATGTTAATGAAGAACAAAGGTATAACGGGCAGGCGAATATAATTGGGTATCTGGCTTGTAATTGTTGGCCAAATAGGGACCCTCCTAAGGGCATGGCTTCTCTGCTGTATACAAAGTATGAAAGTGAATGAAAAAATATAGAACAGCAAACTAAGATAGGGAGAAATTTAAAAACCAATTAAAAGTAACATCCTATTAAACAACAGAATAACAATTAGTTTTGTAGAATTCATACTGTCTCATACACGTCACATAATCGGATAAATTAGGTGATATCGCAAATACCTTGGCAATAAGTCCTCATCACTGTGTGTATACATAAAACATATGGTAAATGTTCTCGGACAGGTTCAGTATCGGCCACTTGATCGTTGCAATTTCCCTCGTTTCAATGAGCAATATCTTCTTTCTCCAATTCTTGAGTACTAATGTAGAGGAACTCTCTAAATACACATCATAGGGTCAACAATCACCTATAAGTGTAAACTATTTACTTTGCTCGTATAACATGCCATTCAAATGTTATGAAATAGTAATGATGACCATGCCCTCACACCATTTATATCATTAACAGATAAACACAAAACAATGATAAGACAAAAAAGAAACAAAAAAACAAGAATAAAGAAATAACAAAAAGAAAAGGAGATCAAAACCAGGCGCTGTTTGCGAGGACGTGAGGTTTCCATACTGCACAGCAAGCAGTGAGGCAACAATCGTCGCCCCGCTACGCACCGGCCTTATCCTGCCATGCTAATTTAGTCGTTTGCAACACCGCTCAGGCGAAGACTCAAGCTGGGCGCCTATAAGATAGGTTGCCTTCCGTGGGGCAGATATATACGGTTCATATTCCTGACACTATATCTCGTACTAACGAATTGGGGTTTTCAGAATTTGCATTTTTACACATGACTTAAAGAGAGGAGTAATGAGGGCCATGGGGTACCTTCTTAGATCATATTTTTCAATAAGTTTACCGACTCTATGGCAGAACGAATCTGACCCAAGGATTACCAGCTGGAAGCGCTTGTATCCCGTAATTTGTTGAGGAAATTGGATTTCAGAGAAGGAGGGGGTTGCACATCGAGACAATGGTCCTCTTCCCCGTAGAGATGAGGACCTGGGTTTATCAGCAAATTAAGGAACATACCGCCCGAGCAATATAGCCAGTTCACATCAGGCAGCCGACCCTCCCGCACGTCTATTACGAACACGGTTGAATGACAGGAAAAGGAATCACTCATATAAAGAAGCTCGCGATTTGAGTGTTGTCTAGAGACGATACGTCATTGTCGCAAGGCAAAATGCTTGTAAATCAACGTGATGAAGAAGACGGGTTTATGAGAACTCACAGCTACTTACAGGACGCAATTAACCGTTCCAATTGTTCGTGACGTTGAGATCAAAATCCTCACAGGATTCTCTTTGGGTAAAAGGTACTAGGAACACAACTAGATGCATAATGCATCTGCAATAGCGGGTGCATTGCTAACTTAAGAACACTTAATATATATCCTACGGGTCAAGCCATCATGGTACAAGAGACGCCCTTGCTGAGGCTCAAGACCCTTTTAGGTATCTTTCAATATCACATACCAGGATCCAAGTTTAGGCCACTCAAAAAAATTAGGTATCTACAAATTTATTATTGTGGATCGGCAATAAGAGCATTCTTTAATAATTTTCTGCGAAACTAATGCAGCCATCTTCAAGTACGCTTTTGCTTGCTTAACCTCTGGGTGGTCGAACTTCGCGAAGTAAAATAAGCCGCAGCGACACGTGGCAGGCATCCGTTACCCAGTTAATTCGGTAATAATTATAAATCATATCTAAAAGAAAGTTTAAATACTGAAAGCAAGTCGAGGCCAATATTTGTTTGAAACCATCTTAAATTATACATTAAAGAAACTGAGTGCCAGCTACAAGGTGTTCCCAGTTTACCTACACTTTGGCTTTGGTATTGGGGCCAAGTGGCTCCGAGCAAGTGTTAGGCAGCGTTGTTCGACCTGAAAATGAGCTTTTTCATATGCTTATCTCCGAAGCGTCCACACTTCAGGCCTAATTTTTAGCAGACAAGTGAGGACCGTACAGGGAATGGACAGTCCTCTTGCCAAGTCTTGATCCAAACTTTAACCTCTTTAAATCAATGAAAGATACGGGGCACCTATAGAGAGCGAGACCATATCGAAGGACACTTATACCTGGTAGACACGCAACGGGAGGCATCTACTTTTGTGACAACTACAAAATCACTTTTCTCTTTCTAATATTGCGCGTCCGCATAACCCGCTTAGACCCACTCATTCATAAGGAAGTGTGGAACATACTATGAACAAGCCCGAGTTTCTTAATTCTCTTGGGCAATGGAGGTTGGGCATACACCTAGACGGCTCTAGGGAACCTTGGTGATTCGTCAGTGCTAAGGATACATTCCTATACTATTCCTGCAAAGGAGGAACGGACAGCATACTGGTGGAGTTCGGTGCACTGCTTGTTAATACAGTCGACCTTTCGCCTCTGCGTACCTTCTCATCTTTACTCGATTATTAATTTTGTCGAATTGGGCTGAGAACATATCAAAAAAGGAGGCACTTTCTCAGGACCACTGCCAACAACAAACAAGCGGGTAGAAGCTCCTTAAATCAGATCAATTATCGATGGGGTATCTGGTTCTGGAAGGGGATCGCAATAGCGTCAGTCGGAGTGCAGACTTATCTAAATGACAATACATTTCTAACTTTTCAATATCTTTGGCAAAGAAGATTACAATTGGTAAATTGTGGAGATTCTTGGTTAATGTAAGAGACAACCTAAATATGTTTACAAGCTTACAAAAGTAGAATTGAGATAGATAAAAAATATAAAAATAGAATCTTTGCTGGTCTACTGCCAGACTTAGTAGAGATTCCTACTGCATAATTGGCAGACAAACATATATGATGGTATAAATGACCAACACATCATCACATTTAAGATGTAGGTGGTCCATAACTATATATAATCTCTAAGGGTTCATTGTCATATCGAATAGGGCACTAGGTTATTTTCACAGGGCTTGGTTGAGACAATAAGTTTATCTCGGGAACCAAAAGCAAAATTATCACGCCGATATCCCTCTTTTATTCTTCTTTTGAGACATTTTTGCAGGGAAAATTTGTAACAACCCAATTTTATGCTTTTTAGGTGGCTGCCACTGGTTAAATCGAGGCATTACAAGCCTCTACTGTTTACTTTTATTCACTTTAAATCTGAACTCAAATATGTAAATTTCGCCGAAGTAAAATAAATGCAAAGAAGGTTTTTAGTTTTTCTTTTTGGACCTTGTTATTTTAAATTTTCTTTAGCGTCTTAATTGCTTTTTATCTGTTATATTCCACCAGGTATTTTATTGAGGAGTTATATTTTTTTTTTTTTTTTCTACTTATATTTGGGATAGCATTTGCCTATAAAATGGTTATGAATGTGTAAATAGGGCATTGGGGCCGTTTTTTGTTTGGTCATCGCCTATTTAGAATGGAATTTTGCTTTCTGTGCCCATTTTGATCTGCTTTTTTTGATGGCTGGGGACGAACTAACTGTCTACTGTTTCCTTTCAGTTATGGTTTTTAGTCATTCTAGTGTACTAAAGTAAGAGCGGTATGAATCCTATATCAGCTTGGGAGCCGTCCTTTAGGTCGTTGGGGCTTTGGAATGCGTTTAAGAATTATTAGTGCAGGGGGTCCTATAGAGCTTATGCGGAATCAACCAAGATCTCCTATACCCAATTACGTAGCTGTCATCTGAATGTTCCTCTGAGTTTTCACCATTGAAAGTATTTATGATTAATACAGCCGGTCAGCATTCATGATCAAGTTCCAGCCAGAAATGAAGCGGAACTGCATGTGTTGAAAGTCACGTTATACTGGTTAACAATATACTTAGTAAAATAACAATTTCCCATGTATATAAGAATGCTATTTGTTGCCAACATCAAAATAAAGAACAGTCTGCCTCTTTATAGAAGTTTTAATCATCTTTTATCAAAATCGTCTTTCAACATGGAAAGATTTAGTCGTTTACTCACTGGCTTTTTCAATATTTTAGGTCTTAATCCTGTCTTCACCTGAGACCAGGAGATATACAAAAGACTTTCTTTGCTCGTGAGTGTTGTGTTTCAAACATTAGACTTGGCGGAACTCTTATCCACGACCCTTATAGATATTAACGCCCTTTCACGCCGATCTGTCTGTGATCTATAGTAACAGAAATTACTCCGTGTAATTAGCCTCTGTCGGAGAGATCCTCTATTTTTTAATAGGAATCATTATACTCACTCCTTAAAAAACATCTTACCCCTCTTCTTCAATAATGCTATTATTCGCACCTATTGAAACTTTGGGTGGTGGAGTCTTTCAGGAGTGGGCCAGCTTTCTAATACATAAAGGGAGCATTAATCGCGATCAAAAGTAAGAGTTGAAAAAGACGGTGGTAATTTACGATAAACGAGTTACAGGTATCTGTGCTTTTGCTTTCAAGCAAAGAGCGTGAAAAAATGTTACGGCAATTTGGGAACAGTCGCTTCGCTTGACAATAGTAGACATTCTCTAAGAAGGTGCCGAGATCCACGGAGAGACGGTTTTCGAGTACTAAAAGTCACTTACAGGTGGAGAAATTTATATATGTCTCACGTGACATTGCGCCAATACGAATCAACTATCTGGGTTATGCCCAGTTTAAAATTTCTAAACAGGGCTTTTTAGCATTCACCTCGACCAAATTCAGTTTTATTGCCGAATTAGACTCAGTGAGTATCATGTACTAAAATAAAACCAATACCTACTCTTCCAACTAAAGTATTTCAATGGCTGCAAGATAAGCCTCCACATATGCTTGAGGGAGACTCAATCATATGCTGCCTTATGTAATAGTTAGGGCCTCCACCTTCAACCTGATACATTCCCTTCCTCAACATTCCTCATTATAATGAGATGGCCCCAACGCTAACAGACATTTCGCACCAAGAACCAGAAAATCAAAAAGTTTTGGGGTCATAACTCAAAAGCGTTAAGGTAATTGTGGAATGCAGCTTCAAAGTGAACAAATTAAAGACTACCAGTTCCATCTATCAAAAAATTGAAAAATCTATATCTGTTTTTGAAATAGGTACAACTAAAATTACACGCTTAAAATTAATATGGTGGCCAAATTCGATCAAATGAACTTTATACTCACATAAGTTCATACAGAGTTCCATAATATTCTCGACTTACTGATATGCGACACTCTACTTTCTTCTAGCTTTCGAAAAGTTTTTCTATGACAGTTCGGCGCAACTTCTACCCCTTCACATGTTAGAGCATCTGTTGATATTATGTCCAGTCCCTTCGACGAAAATTCTATCAACATCTGCCTTATATTTTTTTTTTTTTTTTTTTTTTTTTTTTGCTATTGATGCTTTGCCTTTGTTATTGTTGCTTTGTCTCCATATATGAAGTTCTTTTGTCCCTTCTTTTGTGAGGATGTAGTTCCTTCTTTGTTTGCATCTATTACTAAATAAAGGTATGATATTTGATTTTTTAGGTTGGTTAGATCTTGATTTGCAGGTCTAAATCTTCGATCAACAAAGTCTAATACGATGGCATGTTCCTCCATTGATGTCATTGATGCGCTAGTAGGGCGAACTCATTTGTGTACGTCATATGTAACAAATTCTTAGAAAAACAATCCAAGTATAATAGAGAAGCTATTTTGTTGTCCAAATCAAATAAAGGACTAGTTGCCTCTATAAAGTTTTATATCTTTTATCAAAATCGTCTTCAAATGGAAAGATTTATCTCTTTTAATTTTAGTTTTATCGTTCCAAAGAATATAAAAATTTCTTTTGGTTTTTCAAAAGATTGGCGAACTCTATCAACTAAGATATTAAGTTCCATCTCTGATCTATATAAGTATTTGTAATACTTGAGAATCTATTTTTAATGAATTATACTTCTTAAAAAAATACCCTCCAAAAGACTTTCATTGAACTTTGTTTTACTCTTAGTAAAATAATTATTAAGGATAAAATTGATAAATAAAGTGTTTAATAGGTACATATTTTACAAATTGAAATGTTCAATGTGTCAAAGTAAAATCTGAGAGTGCCACAAGACTTTTCGTAAAAAGTACAAAGGTGAATTTATATATTGAGCCAAAAATAAATGTTCAAAATTACAGCTTTAGATGCATCAACATTTTGCCCTACAATATCATGTACTAAATTAAAACCACTACTCAACAAAGTATTTAATGTCAAATCCACCTTTAGATTATAGCTTTAGTAATAGTATACATGAATGTTTCATCCTAGAAATGAATGGCGCTAAAATTCGCACCAAGAGGCATCAAAAAGTTTGGTCATAACTCAAAAGCTTAAGTTTGTGAAGAACTTAAATTATAAGTCCATTACCAAAAATTGAAACTAACGTTTGATTAGTCACAAATTAGAGTTCAATGGTGCCAAATTATATGCATTTTCTCCAGTTAACGTTTCAATAATTCCATTACGAATGCCCATACTTTCTCTAGTTTCAAAAGTTTTTATTTGCCAATTTCCCTTCACAAAGTTTTATATGTACAACTCTACAATTTAGATTCCAAACCTTACATCATAACCATCTAGACAATAGCAGGCAAAGTGGCAGAGAAGTCGATGGTATGAGGCTCTATAAGCTACAAACTATATATACATCATAATATGATAATGCATCCTAGAAAACTAGTGGTATGCAAGGAATAATTGATATTTAAGTAAATGATAAATAATTAATCCTCCAAAGAAACCAATTAACATTTCAACATTCAATTTATGGAAAAAGCACCATAACTGAAGATGCCAATAAAATATGACGACCAAACAATCATGATTGTATTCAAAACTTACTTGATTCATTCCAAGGTACTCAGCTATCCTTAGTGCAAGAAGGTGTTGGTGAGCATTAATCAAACGACCAATCAAAACAGGTGCTGTAAGAGACTGAATGCAAGAAGTTTATTCAACATAAATTTCACAAAGATATGCACAATAGGATTAATATCAACAACTTAGTCAGGAAGTGTTCGAGACCTTATATTGCTGAATACTTAGAGAGATACCAATCCTAGAGTCGCGCCCAGCATTTAAAACCCGCAAAGTTTTGCACATATCTTGAATGCAGTCACGTGGGAAGTTGCTGCCAAAGCCAACTGGATATCAATATCGAGAACAGAAATCAGAAAAGAAGGGAATAAAATGCTATTTTTAAGGCTACATTATCCACTAAAAAGTGGGAAAAGAACCAGAATATGTGAATACTCTACGAACTAGAAATACATGTTATCAATTGAAAGCCAAAAACATCTAACATTATAAAACAGAAACTGCAAATGGGAATTTCCAATACATTAATCTCAAAAAGAAACAACAGATATATTGGCCCATAATGCGTCTAGCAGACTCCCATATACAAATGCTAAATAGCAATGTATGTGCATATTTAAATTCTATATCAATTTGAGCCAGTCAGAGGAATTCATTTAGCACCTTAAAACAATATAGTTGCAAACAAGAAAGAAGATATGAATGACATAAAGTAGGCAAACAATGCACTTCAACCACAAGATCCAAACTGTCCCAAACTCTTATTGGTGCTTTATTTTGCAGCAAAAATTTCAGTTGTAAAACTGTTCACAATGAACAAGAGCATGTCAGAAGCACACCAAGACCCAGGTCACTAACCAGTGTAGTTGCATAATAGAGGCAAGACAAAGTTTTCACCATCTTAATAGCTTACTAACAGATTTAAAATAAGCAAACAATTATAACAACAAACATGAATGCATGAGATCTCTATCAAAAATTTCACTCCATTAAGATTTCACTTTTATGAATTTCATTTTATAATCATGTTAACCTCAAAGTGATGTTTCCAAATATGGCAACTGACAATTTCTCATGGTGTCAACTGCAAAAGCAAACCAAAATCACCTACAAAAGGCTTGGCCGTAGCTTGCAGCTCTTAGTAGTGTCCGTTGACGGGAAACATCAAATTCATGACCTGCAGCATCGACACATGCTTCAACAGCCTCAGGCAAGGATGTGCGAATCAATCTCAAATTTTCATCAGCCTGTACACAAAGGAATATTGAAATTTCCTCACGAGAAATTACACATTACACTAACTCATAACTGACATAGCTTGCCAGAGCAAACTACAAACTCATCAAGAGACCAGTAAACTGGGGAATGTGGATAGTAAATTGACCATATGTACAAATAATATTTAGAAATTAAAATCAGCAAACATTTAAATGGAGTAAGCAATTCAAGGCTTTATGTAGCTAAAATAGATAGAAACAGAATAAGATGATAAAAATTATCTCAATTCACAAAACAAGGAATGATATACCTTAGCACTCCGCCTGTCAAAATGGTCCAAAGCATCAAATAGTAAAGATGCAGGTGATGTGCTGCCTATCTTAAAGATAGATTCAGTGGAATCAGGTACTCGTTGTAGAAACTCCATACTTGTATTTGATAATATCCTCACTCCATCACACTCAGGGATTAGAATCACAGGTTCATCATACGTGTAAGATACATGATCGTCAGGAACCACCATCAAAAGCATATCATCCCAATAAAGCAGCACACTGTCCAATCCACACCAAGCCATCTGCTCTGGAGGAAGGGCTGACTGCATGTTTTAAAGGGTTAATTATTAAGAAGAAGATATGCAGAATAAATTGCTCATCAAGATAAAATAAAGAGGCAGACTGTGATGCTCAGATAGACAAGGTATAAAACTGAACCGAAAATTTTAGGTTGCATGAAAGTCCAGCAATTTTAACATTGTCTAACGCTAGTGATCATCAATCATGATAAAGTAATACATCACCAAATTCACTTCATCTCAGACGCAATAGCTAAATATAATGCACTAGCTTGAGTTCGACATACATAATTTATAAAAAGGCATACAGTTGTTCGTGATGCTGAAATGTCAAGACCACACAACTGCAGTATAGCACTTCAACCGTCCAATTGCATTATACATAAAGCACAAGACTTTTTACCTCACACGGATGTTCATAGCAGGACCCCGATTCTAAATTCCACATGACAAGAGTACCATCATGTCTGAAACACGCCAAAAACCTCCCATCATGTGAAACTGCAATTTTCTGCACTGGTCCCTGCAGTTCTTCGATTTCCACCGGTCTCACGTCATCGTCATCCACTCTCAAAATCTTATCCCCCATTCCCAACAGCACCTCGACATTCCCTGACACAGTATACTGGGGTTCTATCACCGCCATGCAATGCGGAAGCTCTTCCTCCATCTCAACTACAAGATCTGCCATCTTATATGGTTTTATATCCTTAAAATCCGCCACGCAGAACAACTTCCCGGCCTCTGTCAAACACACAACACCGTTCCCCCAAAAAACGCAATCCACCACATTCTGCTCGAAGCACTCTTTCCCCATGGAAAAATTGGGTTCAAGGCATTCCGCATTGATATTATATCGGTAAATCGTGCCGTCTTGGACTATGCAGATTAGGGTTTGATCGTCGGTCCATGACATGCCAATTAGGCGGCCACCGGGGTGTTTCCATACGGTTTCGGAGACAAGAATGCCGGCAGAATTGAAGATGCGGAGTTTACGGAGGGCGGATTCCGAGTAGAGCTGGACGATCTTAGAGTCATCGCGGATGATAGCGATTGGGCCGCCGAATTGGGCGCATGCCACCTTATTGCGGCTCAAATCCACATGCTTCCACTGCATTTGGTATATCTCCAGCTTCCTGTAGAAGCGATTCAACAGCACTTGCCATTCCGCGGCGACAGAGACATTCGCCATTTTTTGTACAGAAAAGGGGGGGTGTTGTCCAGAATTGAGAAAATTGGAGAAAGATAACTTAATTAACTGATTCTGCGACTCGTGTAATCCAAGGCTTTATTTTCAATTTTACAAGACATTAACCGGCCTAATTTTGTGATGCACAGATACTGCTAATTTTACAAGAATGAACCGGCAACGGACGACGGTGCGACAAGCCGAAGGGCGAGCGGCTGTTCTGGGTTCCTTTGTGCCGCTGATTCTGTAACAGGAAAGGAAAATTAAAGAAAAAATGATCACCGATTGCCAAAGAGAGGCTCGAGGACCTTGGAGTGGTAGGCGACGAGTTGGTCAGCGACGATGAAAAATGCAGCAATGAGTTTCGATTTACGGCATAGAAGAAGAGATAAGGTGAAAGTTCGACACGGGTTTGGGCTTTTTGCAGAAGGATTTATTATTTGAGCGCCATAGAGAATTCGGCTCGCCCTGCACTGCACTCGTCTATGTCTATGTCTATCTCTATGTCTGTGTCTGTATATCTGTATACGTAAATCTATATCTATCCTATCCATGCTTATAAATATATAAAAGCTTATAAATATATAAAAGTTGAATATTAAAAGCCACATTGTTTTAAAATATTAAAGTGTTTACCTATGAATATTAATATATTGAGTTGAAAATAATTTTTATATTTTAAAACATTATTTTTAATATTTTAATAAAAAATTTAATTTGTATCATTAATATTTTTAGTTTTTAAATAATTAATAAAAGTAATAATATTAACAATATTTTTTAAAATTTTTCACTTTCCTTTGATAAATAATTAACAATATTAATAATATTTTCTCTTTCATTTTCCATTCTTTTTACTTCCTTATTTTTACGGAATTTATATAAACATCTATTTCAATATAAATGAAACCATAAAAAAATCACATCGTACTCCCAACAAAAAGAAATGGATTTCTTGCAAACAATAAAGGAATATTTTCATGGCATTTAATAAATTTGAGCTTAATCAATGTGGTTATATCGATAAAATTACAAAGTATATTTAGTTCTCAATGATCAATTAAGTTAGGATTAAATTGATATGTATGTTTTCTATTGTGAAGGAAGATAACAATATTTCTCGACCTATTTCAAATTAGAGCAAACTTTAATGAAAATTTTTTTATGTTTTTAATCTTTATTGGATTTACAACCATATTTTACACTATTTATTCAAATGAATTCAATAATAATTGATATTTATAAAAATTATTTTAAAACCTACTAAAATATTTCTAGAAAATAAAAAATGCCGTCAGAGCGAAACGAAGTTAATTAATATACAGCATCTGTCTATAACTCTGCAGTAATCTATCGATCCTTCAATTACGGGCACATACAAAGAAAACCAAGATACAGAAGAGGTGCAAAAGATGTGTGTTCCTCGTGAGATACAAGAGGGTTTTGGTGTCTACTTTTATCTCTAGTATAGGATTTTATTCAAATTTTGCTTGTTACAAAGTGCGCCATATTTGTAGATATGCGAGAGTCATCTGTGAACAACGTGCATTCTCGCCGCACTGGCCCGTCCTATCTCTGTCACTAAATCGCCTCTATCTCTATGTCCAGTGTCTTGTTATATCGGGGTATCACGTGAAATACTACGTTTTATTGATTCCCCTATTCTCATTTTGGCTCTATCCAAATATTGACTAACTAGCCATTACCTAAAATTAATAATTAGTAATCAGTGTGTTGGTAATTATTCTAACAGACCAGTATATAGGGATTATAAACTATTAATTTTAAGAGTGTTAGCTACCCCTACAAAGAATAATTAAATAATCAAATCAATTACGATGTTCTGAAAAATCACTATTTTTTATATTTTAATAAACATTATTTTAAGATATTTTAATAAAAAATTTAATTTGTATGCATTAATATGTTTAAAGTTGTTTAATATAATCATTTAAAAGTAAAAGGTAAGCTAGATCTACAATTATTAACAATTAAAAATGTGGAATTATAAGAGATATACTTTCACTCTTTATCCTTTTAGAATACATAAATTTTAACAATCCTATCACCATAACATAAGGGAATGCCCGTCGTTTCATACCAATTTGATAGACTGTGCATATAACTTTTTACTTCCTTATCTCTACGCAGGAATTTCAGTATAAGAACTATTCTATTCCTCGAATAGATTACCATGTGTCAAACCACACTACAAAAAATCAACATGTACTGCTATCGGGATCCGCCTCCCGCCGGGCTTTCCCACAAATCTTTACGTAAAATGGATTTTTTCCTTTTTTGCAAAACTAATTGAGAGCAGGGCAGACTAATTTTATTCCTCATGCAATTTTATATTAATTAACAATTACTTTTCATCGAGATGTTGTCGTTAACTACGGGCTTCAAACTAAAATATTTACAAAGTGAATAGTGTCAAGGTTTCCCTATACCATGATCAAGTTTAAATGTTGAGGATTGGTAATATTGAACTATGGTATGGTTTGTCTCAGGTTGTGGCACAGATGATTATGTACGAATCCGAATGTTTTGAACTCGTACCGTAATTTTCAAATTACAGCAACCTTTAATGCAAAATTTTTTGTGCATTTTTTTTAATGTATGTTTAATCTTGTAATTGGAATTTTTACACAACACCAATTTCTATGTGCTATACGACTATTTAGTTTAATGCTCAACACTACGAAACTTCAAATAATAATTGATACTCTTTACAATAAGATCAATAATTTTTTATAAACCTTATTCTTAAAATCATTTCTTAGTGAAGAACATAAAAAAACTTCTAAGCATTAAAATATATAAAGAATGACTTCTCTCGATATTATTATATATATTGTTTAATCATATTCATACGGCTACCTGTTGCATCATGACACAAGAATCTACAAAAAAAATCACCTAGCCACTTTTTTTCTGCTTTAAATCCTTGGTGTTTCTTTTGAATATTATCATAGGCATTAACTCAAATGATCAGGTATTTTCGGGATATCTCCCGCACTTTTATTACCCTTGCAGACTGGATGTACTTTTGTTTTTTATAAGTAGTTAAGCCAAAGATAAGTACTCTCTCTCTACTTAATATGTGATCATAAAGACATACTAGTATTACATCCTGACACGGCACAAAGCGCAATGCGGTAGTACAGTCACAGAATATTAGGTGTACAGCAAAAAACATTGATATCGAGTTGAAAAAAACACATGTTCTTCCAACGCGGCCTCTGATTGGTCTCTAGACTGATTCTCGCCACCGATACTGGTTGTGCTAATATTTTACGCGAACTATAAGCTCTCGCGCATATGTTTATATTATGTGTTTCCTTTTAAGCTTTGGTTCGCTGTAATGAATTTCAGTTATTATAATTACTAATTTATTCGTAAGAATCGTCATAAATTTTTATCTAATTATTAATAAAATCCCTATGATCTATTTCAAACACAAGTTACATTCACGTATATTATGCATTTAGATTTAGTGTGTATTCTATTGTGGGATATAAACAATTAATTCTTGAAAAACGAATGCGGAGCGGACTGATCCCAACAGGTTACCATTGGGTATTTCCAAGTCCCAATGTTTGAGTCGTCATAGTTTAAAACCACGGATGAGCTGTTGAGAGCAACGAAATTTATATAACACAAGCTGGCTGTAAATATCCAGGCATCAAACACAGCCCATATGTACATACAACTCACGTGTATAAATCTTGACATTACTTATTATAACAACTCCACGGTTGTGGGGTCCAAAATTATATATAATAAATAATAATAATTAAAACCCCCTCCTCTCAACCTTTCTAAATCTGATGGAATTAAGTTTCTCGGGATGGCCCTTAACAATAATTCGATCCTTTTATTATTGGACTGCACATAACGTCTGTTAAGAGAGAAATTCTATTTAAAAATGCAGGGACCAGAAGGACAAAGAGAGAGGTGGTGATGGAAAATGGGGGAAGATTGCCAGGAGTGGGATCAAAATGAAATAAATTAAGAAGTAGATTATAGTTAAAGAGATGGGCTTGGAACGAAAACGGGGCGCCTGATAAACCTAACTTGTCGGAGAATACGTAGTCTCTAGGATACGACACTACACACTTATATACACCACGCAATTGTGAGTTGGTTCACCACAATTTAATTACCTCGGAGAAACCGAGAGGATTACCGCATGAGAATGTGGCACCGGTTGCCAAACTCTGAAGTCATATGCTCTATCTGTCGCCTTCTGTCTAAATACAGATTACCTGTCTTAATTTCTACTATCCTCAACAATTATTGCTATTGTTAGAATTTATTGATATGTAGTAATTTTCAACAAATATTATTTAAATTGGTAAGGTAATAGCTACGCATAGGACGTTATTATTTAATAAATTTCCAAATTGAATACTAACTTATCATCTTTTTACCCGGCCAAATGATAAACAAAAACCTAAAATTTTAACGTGGGCAACTACTAAAGTTTTAATGTACCATAGCTCCGGCGCGCTTTTGCGATCTCACAAATGCAATTCTTCTCTCCTTCATTCTCCCTACAACTATTCTTCTATATATTTATGAATTAGGTGCTAATAATTGATAACATAGATGGTGGACAAAAATTGAAGCTCATTCCGATGTTATTCAATTTATTTGCTCACAGATTGTTCAGTGTGTGCAGTCCCTAGTCTCTCCGTAAATTAGGTAATCACACACAAAGCTACCACATTTATACTTTTAAACACACACACTCTTCCTCTCGACTCTTGCATGACAACACAAGAATCTCTCACTTCGTTGCTTTCACTCTTCAATTGCTCTCAAACAATATGGATGCCTGTGATACATACTTGCTATGCAGAAACTGCTTGCTTCTCTGATTGTGCATCATGATATTGTAACGCGGTTATATCATTTTCCTGCCTCCGACCATGACTGATACCTATCTAGCATAAGTATCGCCGTCACCAGAAAATTCTACCCATAAACAAATTTGCCTGCCTCGCATATGAATTCTTAATTTCACTAGCGCAACAGGCGAAGGAGCCTTAACTCATTCCTTTATATATAACTAGTTGCAAAACCAGATTAATAAATCCGGATTTGTTTGCATTTTAAAACAGTATACAGAAAACTACCAATATAATTCGGTCCTCTATTTTAAAATTTTTTTTAATTCTTCTAATAATGAGTACTTCATTCCATAATCAAAACCCTTAAAATAAACCATAATACACCGTTCCGTCAACTTATAAATCCCTCCATGCGCCTTTCCTAATCAAACTATGCCGAAAGAATTCATATATATCATCAGTTTGCTGTTTTTTATAAATTATTACTTCTCAAAAACGGGGAAGAAAGAAAGTGTCGAGAGATGAAGAGACCTCATATATATGTCTGCAGTACATAGGAATCAACATAAGGCATAACAAATTATCACCATCAAATAACATGTGATTCCGAAGTCCAATCTTAGTATTTATCACCTCCCTAGAAATTACTGACAATCCACAGGACTGTTACATCGAATACGCAACTATAATAAAAGAACCAACAAAATCAGAAAAACAATCTACCAAGTGGTATTAATTTGGATTTTCTTTCTCAAAAAATTAACAACCAACCCCGTTATTGCGGAGCATACCGATGAGACAGATTAAGAGAGAGAGCCTAGTAAGGGTATGTGGGGAAGCACGTAATAATACCACTAACTCCGCACATGGGTAATTTTTGTTTCGTGCCTCTATATATGCCGTTGCCCGTCACTCGGAGCCACACATATGTAAGTAAGACCGACAAGTCGGAAAAAGCTAATCATGCCTTTATGCCAGACGACTGTTGGCCAGCTTCCTATTGCTTCTTGGAGGAAGGTATTAGATAAGGTCTTTTGTGATCATTTTTTGTAATCAAGAATTTTTCAATTGGCACCACGCACTGCTGCTGTTTTATTTCATCTTTGTGAATCTATGGCGAGCGAACTGTTGCTCCAGCTCTGGAATACATTATAAGATAGTACTCTTTAACTAATTGCGGCTAGTTTGAACTATTAAAGCAACAGTGCGCAAATTGCTTTTTAATGAAAAATATATTATATTCAGAAGTTTATTATTGAAAAGAATTGAGTAAATTCTAACAAATAGATCGATAAATCATTATAGATTTGCATTACCAGGAAAAGGAGAAATATAAGATTCTTCCGTGTTTTAATCGAAATCAAATTTGGCAACGTGTCTGAAGTTCAATACGGCGTTTTTCTTCGCACCGGACAGTGACGTGAATATTAATTTAGAGTTTAAAACTAGTCGACTTTTAGGGGTAGAGGAAACTCGGCCGAATTAGAAAGTAGCTGCATTTGATAAACTCAATTGCATAAAAAATGAATAAAAATGGATTCATTTTCAAATTTAGGATATAAAGTATATACTAATCTTAAATTGGTTCAGTAGATTATTTTGGCTAGAAAGAGCAAACTTATATCTACAGTGTGTGATAAATCTCGTGCAAGAACTATAAACTAGAGATGAGCTGCATTGCGACACAGTTTTTGGGCCAGACCACGACAGGGGTTTCTTTGGATTGGTTTTGGTCCATTTAATATATATCTATAGATATATATAAAAGTGAAAATAATAGGGAATGAGATGAGATTTTCTATAATAATGCCTTAAAATTAAAAGTGTTTTCTAGAATCTCTCTATATATTCTACACATCTTAAGGTTTAAATTTTTTATGGCACATTTTAAATGTGAAGAGAACAAGCCATTATTCACATTTTAAAATCTAAAATATATTAAAATATGTAATATCGGGCAGTCTCCTCAAGTAATTCTTAAATTTTGCAATTCATCTAGTCTGATTGAAAAATATAGACTATGTAACATTGCAAAATTTGAATGGTAGTGTGAACACGTGTGAAAGTAATCTCAGTGTAGCTTCTATTCTATAATGAGGGAGTGTTATATCGTCTTTAATTTTTAAACGCAAGTGTAGCAATCTAACATCGTCTTAAATAAAAAGACGCATTATAAATATCATAAATTATATAATATAGGTAAATGGAAAGTCTAGCCATGATTATTAGCCACAATTCATGGTTAAGGTAAAAAATCAGCGTTTGTATTCAAACATCTACCAGCTTAGAAATGATTCTAAAGCAATGAGATGCTTCGGTGCCAGATAGCAATAAGAAGAAAAAGAAACGCACACCGCCTTTATTGTTTGAGTTGTTTTTAAGTTTTTTAAGTTTTGCGTTTTTCCTAAGGTTTTTCTAATTTTTTTATCCTCGAAATAAAGACTACTATAAACAAAGAGATAATGACTGTGCTTTATGATTATTTTTTAACTTTAATACTGTGGCATACGTAACACTTTTATTTTTGAAAATAGAATAGAAAAATTAAAATTTTTCACAAAATTCTCTTATTGGGGAACTAAAAATAAAGTTTTTATCAACACATTTTTTTTTTTTTTTTTTTTTAGTTTTCTAATTTTTTACCTTAAAAATAAACAAGAGTTGATTGTTTATATTTTTAACTTTGCTACGTAACACTTTTAAATAGAAAATAAATTTCACAAAATTAGGAATAATAGTTTATATAATTTTATTTATGTTATCCAACCTAATGTTTATACAATATTTCTAATTTTTGAATAACTACAATTAAATTAATTAATTAATTAGATTAAATATATTGAAAGATTTAATTTCATTCGTTGAAAAAAATATTAGAATGGTGAGGAACAACATTGAAGTTGGCAAAAATATTTTTATTAAATATGTTTAAAATTTTTAATTTCATTGGTTGAAAAAATAAATGTAATTTAGTTAGATTGATTTTCTCTTTAAATATAAATTTTATATTGGCTACTAAATAGAGAATAATATTTATTACAAGTGATTATAATTATAAATTTTAATTTAAGAGGTTAATTGTGTAGTAAAAAATTTATTTAATAAAATGTACTAAATTATATGTGATAACATATAATAATAAAATATATCAAAGAATAATATATAAATATATATTGAGAAATATTATACTCCTAAATAAACTCTAACTAACAGATAAACTAGGATTAATACCATTCTTATTCAACCGTAATTAAACATATTCTCAAATTAAACATAAAAGCAGCTAATACACAATTTACTCGCCACTTAATTTCTCATAACTTAGTAATTAGTGTGGTGAGCGTGAAATACACCTTCAAACCCCAAATACCAAAATCTTCTCTATACTACTATGGCTAACGACTCTACCAAACGTATCCTCCTAGAAGATCAAGACGTCGCCCATGGCGAGACCAATGGACAACCTACTTAACTCTCCCGCCAAGAAGATCAAGACGTCGCCCATGGCGAGACCAATGGACAACCTACTTAACTCTCCCGCCAAGAAGATCAAGACGTCGCCCATGGCGAGACCAATGGACAACCTACTTAACTCTCCCGCCAAGAAGATCAAGACGTCGCCCATGGCGAGACCAATGGACAACCTACTTAACTCTCCCGCCAAGAAGATCAAGACGTCGCCCATGGCGAGACCAATGGACAACCTACTTAACTCTCCCGCCAACCCGTTCCCTGTCACTCCCGTGCCATGAAGATTTTCATATGACGTCTGCCATTTTTAGCGGGTTCCGAGACCACAAAATGGACAAAACCTAACTCAACTAACCTCTTCAAAAATCTCTTCAGGCCCCACATTATCGATGACGCTCAGTAGTGAGCCGGAGAAGATCAAGACGTCGCCCATGGCGAGACCAATGGACAACCTACTTAACTCTCCCGCCAAGAAGATCAAGACGTCGCCCATGGCGAGACCAATGGACAACCTACTTAACTCTCCCGCCAAGAAGATCAAGACGTCGCCCATGGCGAGACCAATGGACAACCTACTTAACTCTCCCGCCAAGAAGATCAAGACGTCGCCCATGGCGAGACCAATGGACAACCTACTTAACTCTCCCGCCAAGAAGATCAAGACGTCGCCCATGGCGAGACCAATGGACAACCTACTTAACTCTCCCGCCAAGAAGATCAAGACGTCGCCCATGGCGAGACCAATGGACAACCTACTTAACTCTCCCGCCAACTATCGATCCTCAAGTAGTGGTCACCTTAGCCCAAGCCTTTTCCCAATTTACCACCATATTGAAATGCATCCAGGAGACCCCACACCTTCATCGCGAATTGATACTGCCCAATAGACCAACAAACCCCTCCCATATGGACCATAATATCCCTCCCCCTCCACCCTCACATAAGTCTCAAAGTCATTCAATGTTGAATGATACCATGAAGCGGAATCGGAGGTGAACCCAAGTCCGACTATCCTGGGTAGCCAAGATTTGAGTCACACCCAGCCAATCTTGGACGGTACCAACCTCTGAAATGTTGTCAAAGAACTAGTTCGGGAGTGTTAGGAGACTGGCGAGATGGGGATTATGGCCTCCGGCAGGATTCACCATTATCAGCGGATATTTTGGGGGCAACTTTTCCCCTGAAATTCAAGATTCCTACCTTTCAACCATATGATGGATCTACTAATCCCCGAAGCCATCAAGCGACTTTTCAAACTATGATGTACCTTCAAACCAACTCGGAGTGCAAGGTCTTTCCAATTACCCTAAAAGGAGCAGCTCAAGAGTGGTACCAAACACTCAAAATAGGGTCCATCCACTCATTCTCTCAATTAGCCACGGCGTTTCGAGCTCGAAGGGAGAGTCCCTAAGGCAATATATCTCCAAGTTTCAGCGAATGGCGATGCAAATGGAGAATTTGAATGATGAAATGGCTATTAGTGCTATGGCGAAGAATTGTCGGTACAACAAATTGTTTGAAAGCCCTAAGCATAGATCCCCCTTTCACTTTCGCCGAACTCATGGCAAGGGCCCATAAATACACCAAATTGGATGAAGCCTATGACGCTTGACAACGTAGATTGCCCAAAGAAGAGAAGCTCACAAACAAAAGGCCTCCTTCCCCAATAAGGAGACGATCGCCCAGAAGGAGATCACCCATTCAACTCCCGCGAGCTAGTTAATCTATTAGAACGCTATACTCCAGGGATGACAGACCACAATAAGACCGGGAGTTTACCCCTCTGAATAGGTCCTGCTTGAAAATATTATCTTAAACAAAAGAGCAAGGCGATCGAGTTCAACTCTATTACCCTAGAAAGATGAAGGAGGATACCTCGGGCTATCGAGATAGGAGCAAGTATTGTGAGTTCCATAGAGATGTTGGCCATGAAACTAAGGCCTGTTGGTAGTTAAAGAACGAGATAGAACTTCTTGTGCAAAAGGGCAAACTAAAAGAATTTGTGGTAGGAGCTTGAAAAGAAACTAAGAAGAAGAGAGACAGGTGAAAGAATTTCAGACTCTCGGCACAATACACACTATCTTTGGGGGTTCGTCTGGAGGAGACAACAATTCAGCTTGAAAAGGAGAGCCTGGGAAATTTGTTCCATTCTACCCTAGCAAAAACAGAGCATTAGACCACCCATATCATTCTCTGGAACTTCCTAGTAAAGAGGGTATTGGTAGATGAAGGTAGTGCAATTAACTTGTTGACTATGGAAGTCTTTAAAGCTCTAAAGTTAGACCAAGCAAGGATGAAGCCTATCTGAACACCACTGGTTGGCTTAGCTGGAAAACCCGTGCAAGTGTTTGGATCGATAGAAGTTACTTTGGAGCTCGAGACAGGAGACTTGTCAAGAAAGCTTAAGTCAGAGTTTATTGTGGCAGATATTCATTTCCCTTACAATGCCATACTCGGTCGACCAGCCCTGTAAGAGTTAAAGGCAGCCACATGTATATGGTACCTCTCTATGAAATTTTACTTTGATAAATGTGAGGTTGTTGTTCTAAGGGGAGATCAAAGAGTGGCTCGAGAAGCATACATGATAGCTTTAAAAGGGTTGCCTCTGGCCCTACCAATATTATGTGGATGCCAGAAGAGGAACCATCAGCAAGACTAGCCAAGCATCAGCCCTTTGACATACCCAGACATACATCTGATCCAGCCCAACTCTTGTGGGTGAACTAATTACGTGGGAAGTGGAACCAGGGAAATGCCTAACACTGGGGGCCGAGCTATTAGAAGAGGTGCAGAACAATGTTCGAACAGTTCTGAAAGGTAATCTTAATAGCTTCGCTTGGACTGTTGAAGATATAATTGGGATCAACCTTGACACTATATCCCACAAGCTTAGCATCGACCCAGACTATAAGCTGGTAAAGAAAAAGAAACAAAATCATGGTCCCGAGAGGCAACGAGCTATAGCAGCTGAGGTAGATAAGCTACTATAGGCAGGGTTTATAAGCGAGGTAAGCTATCCTGACTGGCTGGCGAATGTAGTCTTGGTGCCAAAGTCCAATGGGAAATGGAGATTGTGTATTGACTTTACTAACCTGAACAAGGCATGCCCTAAGGATCCATACCCTTTACCTAACATAGATCAGCTAGTGGATTCAACAACCGGTTATGAAGTCTATAGCTTTGTAGATGCAGCAGCAGGATACCATCAGATAAGAATGCATGAACTAGAAGAGGATAAGATGAGCTTCATCACGGATAGGGGGATTTATTGCTATCAAATCATGCCTTTTGGGTTAAAAAATGCAGGAGCCATATACCAGAGGTTAGTGAATAGTATGTTCTGCCACCAAATAGGCCGAACTATTGAGGTATATGTGGATGACATGATCATCAAGAGGACCCAAGCTGTCAACCACCCTAGAGACTTACAAGAGGCCTTCGAAATTTTAAATGAGTTCAATATGAAGCTCAACCTAGACAAATGCATATTCGGAGTTAAAGTAGGAAAATTCTTAGGTTTTATGATATCATAAAGGGGGATTAAGGAGAACCTTGAGAAGATCAAGGTGATCTTGGAGATACAGGAACCTATAAACATTCAAGAAGTCCAACAGTTGAACAGCTGAATCACAGCTCTTGGGACGCTTCATCTCCTGCTCGACGAAGAGATGCATGCCTTTTTTTTGAATCCTGAAGCAGTTGAGGGGTTTTTAGTGGGATGAGAAGTGCCAGCTCGCCTTTTGAAAAGATTAAAGAATTCCTATCCTCATTATTTCCAATCCTAAGCAGACCCATAAAAGATGAGCCTCTATGCTTAGCTGCTACTAAAAACTCTGTTGCATCAGTTTTGATCAGAGAAGAGGAAGTTGAGCAGTACCGCTATTACACTAGCAAAGTCCTTAGAGGGTGTCGAACTACAATATCCAAATATTGAAAAGCTGGCTTTCACCATTTTCACTTCGGTGAACAAGCTACATCATTATTTCAAATCTCATACCATATTTGTCCGAACTAATCAACCTCTGAAAAAGATCCTTCATTGAGCTCAAAATTCTGGGAGATTGATAGAGTGGTCAATCAGCTTGGGAGAATTCAATATCAGGTACACACCTCGCACTGTGATGAAGGCATATGTACTCACAGATTTTGTGCCCGAATTTTCTAGTGAAGAGGAAAAGGGCAAACTGGAAGCCAAACTACCGAGCCCTGACAATAACACTTGGCAGTTACACACAGATGGGGCCTTAGGGAGTTTAGGGCCGACAATAGAGGTAATTCTATAAGGGCTACGGAAGATAAACGTACAATATGCGGTGCGACTGAACTTTGAAACAACTAGCAATGGTGCTAAATACGGGGGTCTAATCATAGGCCTTAAGCTGGACCTCGAGGTATGAACTCCAGTACTCCATGTTTTCGTAGACTCACAACTTGTGGTTAATCAAATTGTAGGCACATTCACCACCAAAGAGGCGAACCTAGTCAAATACCATTCTCTAGCTTTATCACTCTTGCACAAGCTAGAGGAAGAAGGTAGTGTTTGGAAGATGACCCAAATAGACCGGGCGAACAACAAGGAAGCCGATTCCATAGCCAAAGTTGCAGCATGAGAAAAAGATTTGCCAAAGGAAGTGATGAACGAACACCAAGGTTGACCGAGTTATGAGCTGAATAAAGTCCTTATATCCCAACTTGACAGCAATTGGATGAGCCCGATCATTGACTTCATACAAAATGATGTTCGGCCTAGCAATAGGCAAGAGGAGATCAAGCTTTACAGGAAAGCAGTGAACTATACACTAGAAAATGGCGAACTCTATAGGAGATCAAAGTCACACCCTTGAGCGAAGTGTCTAACGGAAGAGGAAGGCAATTACATCATAAGCGAGACTCACGAAGGTATTTGTGGTGCACGTAAAGGCTTGAATGCTATGCTTAAAAAGATACTACTCTTATGGTACTACTGGCTAACAATGAAGAAGGACATTCGCCAACACATTCGCCATTATAGCACTTCTCAAAAATATGATCAGGTGCCTAGAAAACCCTCCTCAGAACTACAACCCTTAGGTTCAGCTTGACCCTTTGCTCAGTGGGGGATAGACATTCTGGGACCTTTTCCTATAATAACAGGGCAAAGAAAATTTATAGTAGTTGCAATTGATCACTTCTCCAAGTAGGTAAAAGCTGAGGCCCCTAACACTATTACCCCAGCTCGGGTCATTAGTTTCTTCTAAACTAATGTGATATTTAGGTATGGTGTACCCTATAAGATTGTCACTGATAATGGAAAATAGTTTGATTCTGGAGCCATCAGATCTTTTTATGAAGAATGGCACATTGGACTACATTTTACCTCGGTAGCTCTCCCATAAACTAGTGGCCATACCAAAGTCACCAATAGAACCATCCTATAGGGCTTAAAGAAGAGGTTGGTTGGGAGAAAGCTAATTGGACAGATGAACTAAATAGCATACTACGGGCTTACAGGACCATACCTCAGGAAGCGACAGGAAAAACCCCCTTTCTCCCTCGTATATGGAACTGAAGTAGTGGTGTTAGTAGAAATAGGCATTCCCAGCAAAAGGACAAAAGATTATAACAAGCAAGGCATTTATGAGAGCCTAAGGATCAACCTAAACTTAGCATAGGAATTTAGGTAAGATGCTGCAGTCCAAGCTGAGGCATACAGGGGAGGGTGAGAAGATACATCAATAGGCGAGTTCAAAGCAGACAATTTAAAGAGGGGCATAGAGTTTGGCAAAAGACAGAAATAACCAAAGGCTTGGTACGTGTAGGCGAATTAGGGTAGAACTGGGAAGGCCCCTATGAAGTCTCGAAGCGGCTAGGCCCAAGCACATATAAGCTTAATAAGGTCGAAAGAGTT